GGGAACCCCCCAGCCTGTCATCCTCCTTTCTCCCAGGCACCACAAGCCTCAAGAAGCCCAAACTGGAATGGGCATAACAGGTGTCAACTCACTTAACAGAAAAAAAAAAAAGCTAAACCAGGACCTGTGTTCCCTGTGGAACATCACAAACCAGAGCTGGGGACAGTGACATGAAACAATGCACTCAGACAACAGTGCTTGGAATGAAGCAACTAAAGCAACTCCACCAGGTAATGCTCAGGTTTTCAGCAGTCACCTGTGTTATTAGCTTTTCTTTTTCAGACAAAAAAAGCAATTCTTTATGACTTGCCACTATTCAGCCTCCCTCATTTTGCTCAGATTTACCAGAACCAGAAGGCATATGCAGCAGGCTACAGAAACAGACACTGCATCCAGAACAGTCCTGCTGAGCTCTCAAATGGTGGAAATTTAAAGCCTACAAAAAAAAAAGCATGTGGTACTTTCAGAGCTTGATCATGTGCACCTTCAGGCAAGCCTCTTTAAAGGATGTGAGAGAGCCACTGGTATGTTAGCACAAAAATAACCTTCTGTGATGTGACATATCTTTTATTCTTATGGTCATTCTACTGAAATCCTTTTCCAATCCAGGGAGAACAGTGATGTTAGATGTGATTGCCACAGATCCTAAGTATTCTCATCTGAACTCTTCTTGCAAGCTGAGCCACTAGACCCAGTTCTGTGTGTTGCAGTACTTCTCCTGACAGAACTGTGCTTACCAGGAGCTGCAGAGCTAACTTGGTGCTCACCACTAACCATCTACGTGACAAGTTCCCAGTAACAGCACATGGCCTCACTTAACTGATGCCCACTCTCCCAGAATCTTCCTCCTTTCCCACAGAGAACCACTCTATCTTATTTAGTGACAAGTTTAGACAAGTTTCTGGGGCCAAAAAAAGAGAACAATCACAGGAACAATCCAACTTAAAATGACATCACTTATGACCAGGAACGCTGGTGCACCTAAACGCAGCAAACACCAGCATTCCTCCTGCAACGCTCAGCAATATTCCGGAGCTTTCATGACAGTCTGGACTCCTTCTCCTACTCTGCACCTGAAGGTCAGTGAGTGGGACTCCATCACATTTCACTGAGCACAGCTACCCAAGGGATCAGCCTCCTGCTCGCCTCCGATCTGCCTCCCACTGTGGAATATCTGCACATGAAGGATGCAGCAGGAACAATGCCTTCGGGGGAGGATGCAACATAACCAGCACCAGAAGGCTTGGAGCATCTGTTGGAAGTTTCCAACAGACCCAAGGACCTGATTTGTGCAGCAACACACCCAGAGATGGATGCTGCCCCACCCAGCTGGGGCCCATTTGCCCACACAGCTCTTCCAGAGCAGCGTGAGGTGCCAGTGAGGCTGCCTGTGGTCACGAGGGAAGGCTGCACACTCCAGCTCGCTTCCATTCCTGCGACAGCTGGAATGCTGTTCTTGTTCTGGACATCACATGTTCTTTCAACACAGATCTGTGGCACCAGTATTTGTTCTTGTCCCCAAGAACCTGCTGACAGCAGTGTAGAGCTCCACAGCCACTTCAAGGCCATCACAAGATCATCCGAGTGACCCACAGGAGCAGTTTTCCTTCCTGCTCCTGCAATTTCTGAGCACAAACTCCACAGCAAGATGGAAAGGATAACTCACTCAAGACAAGTAACAACAGTAGCAAGAGAAACAGATTTCTCAAGGTGCTTCTCTGCCCCACAAGACTCAGGACCCACCTGACCAGCTCAGAGTTCCTCTGTGCTTTGGCAACAGCTCCAACACTCACATGCATCACTTAGTTCAACCCCTCCAACTCACCATATACCCTCTGCCTGTAAACCTGCCAGGAGAGGCATAAGGCAGCCTGAATCTTCAAAACACCCTTTGGGCCCCCAAAACCTGTTGTAAAATCTTGTGTCAAAAAAAAAAAATATACCCTAACCAGTGACCTACATGAAGGATGGAGGTCTAACACACTGCCAGGGAAGTGAGATAACGTGGAGGCCGATCGAGCCATTGCTGAAAAACACATCTGAGCTTCAGATGGATAAAAAATAAACACAGATATATATACAGAGATTACAGAATGAAGCTGGAAGAGCCAAATGCCAAAGGCAGGCACTGAGAAGCTGACGTTTGAGCACTCAGAGCCAAGGCAGTGTTTCTAAGGCTCTTTGCAGGCAGCAGTGCTGCCACAGCCCTGCCCTGGCAGTGACACAAGCAGAGGCAGCAGTGCCAGCCGTTCCTTTGGAGACCCACTGTGCCCAGCCAGCTCCTACGGGAGCAGCAGGAAGGGCTATAAATAGCCCTGGCATCTTTAAACAATCTGGGTAAGTGATGGACAACAGGAATGGCCACAGAATTCCATGCACAGTGAGAGTCACGGTGGATTTCAAACTCCCAAATCCATCTTCATCCTGCAGTTCTGTGACACAGCAGTGACAACAGACATGCACTGTTTCCTTTCCAAAGTCAGGCTGCAACTTTCACCTAAACGGAGTAGAGCCTAAACCAAACACTTCCTTCACCTTCTGCTTTGAGAGAGAGAACTGAGCCAAACCTGTGAGCCCTGGACAGCTCTGTTCCCACACAGAACCACAACGGAGCCGACTCAACCACTTGGGACCAGAGGACACAGTGACACACACACACCCAACACCTGGACAGAGCTGTCACCTGCCACTGCCACCCCAGCAGTGAGGATGGAATAGCTGCTGTTCCAGCAGGAAACATCACATGGCTGGAGAGAAGAGACTTGCAAATCTCCGAGGATTAAGGATTATTGCAGCTGCTAAGAACACCCTTGTAACCTGAAGATTCAACAGTGAACTAGAGCACTCATGGCAGCAGCCTAGCTGCTAGCTACAGTCCTGGAACCACCACAGGACAGATTTTAGGCTCTGACACCTCAAATTGCTAAAAAGAGAAATAATTTTGCAACTTCACATGGGATTGTGGGAAAAGAAATATTTCAAGTGAATTTTGAGAGCTCCTGACTTCAGCAGTTCCATACACAGAAACTAGGATAAGGATTGTGGCTGCTCCTGGGCACAGAAAGCCTGAGCTCTCCTAGGAGTCACCTACCATGCACAGAGAAGCCCTGGGGGTTATCCCAACACCCCTCACAGCAGAATCTCTGATTCCAGAGAACATACTTACTGTTCCAGCCAGGATATCATGGGGACAGCAGTCCAGGAGGTGACTCTTGCACACACGGTCGTCTGTGAACTTGACCCTCTGTCTCGTCTCATCGCCTGCAATTCATGTGTGGTGCAAACAAGAGCCATTAGAAGAGGGATGAGAGCTCAGGTGTCGGCATCAGCATTCACTTCAGCTGCAGGTGAGACACCTGCTCCTCCTGCTCCCCAGAATTACTCAAACACCAGTTCAGAGGGTGACAGAATATTCTGGAACACTTATCATTGGCAGCAAGTAATGTTTTAGCATCTGTCCACCCAGGACACCATGTTGAACATGGTGCTGGTGAGCCAGGCAACACCCAAGGCCTGTGCTCCATACAGACAGCACAGCCAGGAGAGAGGAGAGGAGACAGCCAGGCTGGCTCCAGCTAAATCCTGCCAGGTTTGCCACCCCTGGTTTGTACAGGGAGGAAGGGGCAGGAGGTACCAAACCCCACGTTCTCAGAGGGCCATGAATCAGAGATCAGGGCTGTGCTGGACAGTTTTACAGGCAGCTGCTCTTTGCTCATGTGGTACTGAGCCACCAGTCCATCTGGTGTGAGACCCAACCGTGCAGTTTGCTCTCCCAGGCCGTGCCAAGGTGCAGCTGGAAGGTCCTGGGCTGGAACACACCACCCCCTGCCCACCCTCAGAGGACATTTCACACTCAGGAGCCACTTAAACGAGACAATATCAGAAAAGCAAAGAAATAAACCATAAAAAAAAGAACAAAGTTAGTCAATACACACTGCGAGCTCCAACACATACTATACCCATCTGCATTCTTCAAGACCTCAGCTGCAGAATTTTATGCCCATTGTTGAAAAGTTTTAAAGGAAAAGCTTTCTTGCCCACACCTGCAGTAAGGAAGTCAGGGGAATGATACATAAAAGTAAAGGCAAAGTGGTAATGGTATGTGACAATTTTAAAGCTCATCTGTGCATATGACACAGGTATGTGTAATACTAAAGTAGGAATATAGTTTAGGATTCACAAGCATCCAGGAATAATGTTGTGTCTACTGAAAATGGTTCTTTTTTTTTTCCATTTTTTTTCCTTCTAAGCTACACTTTTAAAGTTACTTGTGAAAAAAAAAAGCAAACACTTTTTTGTTTTGTTATAACAGCTTTAAAAATTGGTAGTGACTCACGGCTCGATGAACATGAGGCTTTTCTGCAACTCCCTTGCAGATTGATGTAGGCAGGCAAAGATACACTGAACCTTTATAAATAAAATAGAGGGGCCACAATTGTTCAGTTTGTATGAAATAAAAGTATGGGAAGCAATTCAACAGCAACTCAATACACAGAGAGAGAAAAGCACTTATTCACTTACGAAACAAAGTGCAAAGTGCCTGAGCAGCCCTGCTAACGTGCCAGAGGGGGTTTAAGCACCCAGCGAGTCGCAGAAGGGAGACACAAACCGCGGCGGGGCCGTGCCGTGCACAGACTGTCACGGCTCCGTGCCCGGACGGGCCCCGGCGCTGCAGGCACACCTACCTACGT